GTTGTGGCAAACCGTGTGGCTCCTGGACGCACAATCTTCTTCCAACCTTGCCTTTTTCTAAGCCAAGCAAGTACATTAACATGATTATAAGCAAAAATAGTCACCTTGGATGCTTTCTTTGCCAAGTCCTCTATAAGAGGCATGCTGCCCAAGTCTTTCAAAATTAAATTTAAACAATGTGCAGCACAAGGCGACCAATAAATGTTGTTGAATCTAGCTTTCAAGAGCTCGCCTGCTTTCTTGTAATTAGCAGCATTATCGGTAACAAGCTGAAAAATATTTTCAGGCCCTACCCACTCAACAACTTCACTAAATAATGAGTACAAGTTTGTAGCATCCTTAACGATATCTGATGCATCCACTGATTTCAAAAAAGATACCACGGGGGCAATAAATCATAAAGTTTATTAAAGTTCTACTTCTTCCATCAGTCCATCCATCCGCCATAAGAGTACATCCTGTGTCCTTCCAAGTATTCCTATAGCAATCAATGAGTAACCTACACTCCTCTTTACAATCCTTAAGTAGGTTAACCCTCATATTATGGTAAGATGGAAGCTTGTATCCAGGACCTATAGCAGTTATAGCATCCACAGCTTTCTGTGCATATGGTGAATTTATAGCATTGAAAGGTATGCAACAATCAAAAAACCACCTTGCTACAGCTAGGTCAGCACGATGTACTGCTTCCTTAGATGCCAAAACAATTTTGATTGAAGGTTGTGAACCTGATTTTGTTCTTGGAGCAAAGAAAGTGTCAATTTCAGCAAGCTTTCTCTTTCCCTTAGCAAGTTCTGATTGATATGCTTCAGAGGATTGGGATTTAGTTAGGGAGGAAGAATCCCCTCCTTCGTCTACTTCAGCATCTATTGGAAATGGTGTACTTTCTAACTCCTCCTGCACTTGTTGTTTTCTTTTTGAAATATCCTTCAAGTTCTCATGCATTTGAAATCTAATATCATGTGGAACCTTTTTGCTTGCTGCTATATTCCCCTTAACTCCTGCTAGATGTTGT